CAGGTTCCTCTCTGCTGTCCTTTGCCCCTCCCATCCCCCTGTCACCCATGCTACACAGGGGGACTGATTGGTTCAGAAGTGTACAGAGCCTTTGGCCTAGGAGATCCCTTTGAACTGGGCCCAAAGGCTGTCAGAGCCAGAGGGACAGCTTGGAAAATGCTTTCTTCAGCACTGACTGCCCGAGAGAAGGAATTCCAAAGAAAACCCATGGGCATTGGGGTGATGTCAGTCTAACTACATCCTGCCCTTGGGCATCAGGCTCCCTGGGGTCACCTCTGCAGCTGGGGCTCCCAGGCTATGCGAGATGAACTCCCATTTGTGCATGTATGCGCACTCGCGTGTTGTTTCCCACCCTCCCCAAGGCAGTGAGGAAAGAGGATTTTTCCAATCACTCTAAGTACTGAAGAGGGCAAACGATCGTGACTCTCTAATGAGGACTTAAAAACAATTGGTTAGGTCTGTCCTTGGTGGGGGGGGGGGGAGAGAGAGAGAGAGAGAGAATGTTCACGTGGGAGGGAAAATAATATCCTCTTTAGTGCTTCACGGAAGTGCTGGTGGGAGCTGAGCCCCTCTGTGAAATGAGTTAGGACCTTCTCAGCCCAGTTCTTATGCCTGGGCAGCCCCATCCATAGCTCCCTCAGCAAATGGGTCCCTGTCAGATTGGGCCAGAGAGACTAAGCTGCCCTCTGCTGCTGGGGTTTTTGCAGGACTTTGGCCCCTTCACAGGGTGGTGGAAAGGACACTGTTCCCAGCACAAGACGTAACAAGGTGAGAGAGAAAACCCGTCTCCCAGACTGAGCCACCTTCCCCCACCACTGTGCCTCTCTCCTGAACTTGGAGGGGACCCCTGCTAGTGGGGAGAGTGGGCCTATTCACTCCTCTGCCTCTGTACAGAGCCTGCCAAGAAAGGGCACAACAGAGTTGTAGGGATGGAGGTAGTGATGCAGGCACCTGGCCACCAAGGACTGGGCTGACAGTCTGTCTATCCATTGTGCATGCATGGCCGCCATTACCAGAGGGCCCAAACGCCTTACAATTGTTCATGTATTTGTCCTCACAGCACCCATGTGAGACTGGGCCACGCTATTACCCCCCTGGCCGAAGGGGGAACTAAGACCGAGGGAGACTGACTGACTTGCCTGGTGTCGCAGGCAGGCTGTGGCAGAGCCGGGACATGGACTCAGAGCTCCATGTCGTAACGTAGCATCTTCATTTCACACAGGCCACCAAAGAGCCACAGAATGGCACCAATTTTCAGTTACTATCAGCCATGGGCAGGTGGCTGTGGAAAGCTCCATCTGCCCTGAGCCAGCCAGACCTTCCCCTCCACCCATGCAAAACCCAGCCTGAGCCCCCGGTGAGGGGGTGGGCCGCATTTGCTCCTTTCCCAGGTATTTGTTTTAATGGGATTTTGTGCACTGGAGACTACAATCCCCTTAGAGAGGTTGGGTTGAGGCGATAATGGACAAACATCGTTCCCCAGCAGGTTTATGTCTCTTGACTGGTACTTGTTTGAACGGATTTCACTGAGCTTTGTGAGCAGGAAACTAATCTCCTAAAGCTCAGCCAGCTTAACCAGCCTGCAGGTTCTCACTCTAAGAAGCCAGGGGATGAGGGGCATGCCTGGTAGTGCTGAACCTAGGGTATCTACAACACCCCCTATCTTGAAACAATAATAATAAACATCAAATGCATTATTTCCTTCAACAGCGCACCCCCATCAGCATTGTTCTAGCACCCCTGGGCATGCTTATACTGGTGTCTGTCTTAGGAGACCCCTCCCTCTGTCTCCCTGCCAGGAAGTGAGCCTGCAATGGGGATTCTGATGGGGCTGCCAAGCTGCCCTGGCACAAGACCATGTTATGCAAACCCTGGTTTTGATCTCAGGCTCGCTCCTCCAGCACAAGCTGAGTAAGATTTGCAGCTGACTCATAAACCCCGGGGTTCTGAAGAGCCATGCCAGATCACTAATCAGAGGAATATCAGGCCCTTTTCATGGGCCTTCCAGGGGATCACAAAGGCCTTTACAAACATTAATGAATGAAATTAAGTTTCTCAACCCTTCCCCCATCTTGCAGCATATCTTATTATTCCCAGTTCACAAATGACACAGCTGATCCCAAGGGATCCAGTGACTTGCCCAAGGTGTCAAAATGAGGGGTAGAACCCAGGAGTCCTACTTCCCAGACCCAAGCTATAACTGGGACCCAAGCTGTAAGCTTCTCTTTAATGACCCATTACATAAGCTGATTTTACCTATGGCTAAACCAGTACACAAACCATCACTTGTTTTTCTTCCTCTGGTAGGAAAGTTCCTTTACAACATTAACTGTTGGCCCCTTTGCCTTGAGTAGTGTTGACTAGTGGTTAGCACCCAGCTTTGGGACTCAGGACTCCTGGGTTCTACTGACTTATACGCTGCCTTTGAAAACCATGCTTGTGTGGTTCTGTGCAGGTGCTCGAGTTGTGCTGAGGAAGGCTCCAGGCTAAGGTTGGCAGAGACATGAGTAACAACACGGTAAGTCCACCCCATGAAGCAGTCCTGCCGTCCTTGTCCCAAGCATCCATCTCCTGGGCCCTTGGAGGATCTCAGGGAACTGCCTACTTAGTGGGTCCAAGTTCTTTGTGTTTTCAAAGCGGATGAGTCAGTCCGCAACCCCGCCTGAGAACTGGACAATGATCTTCCCGTGTCACAGGTGGAGGAAGCTGAAGCCCAGAGGTTAAATATGCTCAAAGCACCTTCCACCCATTCTAGTGCAGGGCTGACTCATTAGTTGGCACAATAATTGGGACAGCTGGTGGCAATGCTGAGAACTGAGCAAGGCTTAGCCGGACTCTATGGTATGGGACTATGCTTGTGAGGCTCTTGCTGTGGGTCGTGGCAGTGCTGGCTGGGCTTTCTCCTCTCCTCTGCAGCTCATTCTGCTCCACCATCTGCCCAAGCTGGTTTGCTGACCTTCTCAGCACAGCGGTGGAGGTTAATGTAATTTTTCCACTGGCTTAGGTTTCGTTTCCATGCAACTGGTACTCTGGGTTCAGGGCAACTCTGTATGGAATCACTGTGCTTAACCCTCGGAGCATGACATCTGGATCCGGTGGCTGTACGTGGTTAAAAACAACCCAATAAAAGCCACTTAGCCCCAGGTCACAGAGGTAGCCAGTGGGAGGTTTCCTGGTTCCTCAGATTGCTGGGCCAAGCCTGTTGCTTGGGACTGGGAAAAGCCAGCCCAAACTGAGCATAACTGAGCCCTAGTATCTGGGCTCTTGAAAGAGGGCGCTGAAGCAAGTTTTTTGTTCCAGCCTTGATGGAAGAATGAGGTAGCAGAAATCTCACAAGGGTCAAACTCCAGAGGAGGAAGTCCCAGGGGGTATCTTAGCAGACCCAGTCTTGAAGGAAACTTCCAGGTTATATCTCAAGCCAGGTCAGAACTGGGGAACTTTGCCTGATTTCAAGCGGAGTCCGTATATCAGCCCAGGTTCCCGTGAGATGTAGGACGATCTCATGTGAGATGTGGGGGGATCCTGCATCACTTGCTAGAGATTCGTGGGGAGAACTCTTGAGACAGTGGGAGCTCACTAGGAGGTCTCTGGGCCATGGGGAGCCTAGCCAGAGCTTTAGATTTGTGACTGAACTGGGAAGTGGCAGAGTCTTGCCTGGTTTTAAGGTCCCAAGCTCCGACCTTTCTCGCCTTCTAACATTCATTGCTTATTCCCCCCCTACCCTGCCCTCCTCCGCTAACTGCTTCAGGCATTGTTACCCTCCCCCCTCTCCGTTCCCTCCCGTCACCACTGTCACCTTTGCCCGCATGGCAGCCAGCCCCAGCCCTGGTGGAACTCCACTGACATGCTGGGTGACCCTCTCCCAGCCACCAGCTAAGACCTATAAATATTCATCTGCCTCTGTTTTCCTGCATTCTGCCCGGCAGGGGAAGCAATCTGAAAACTGCTCTGGCTCTCAGGCAGTTCTGTGGCTATAGGGTAAGTGAAACTCTTCCTGTAGTCCAGTGGGACCTTGCTAGGATACTGCAATGGGATAATAGGGCCCTGGGACTTTAATCCAGTCATGAACTCAAGGCCAATCTGCAAAAACCTCTGGTTGTGGGTGCCCAGCTCCAATTCGAGACCTGCAGGATCCGTTGCTCAGTGCCAATGAGTGCCCACAGCTCCCAGCTGCTCCACACTCCCCTCCACCCAGGGGCCACCTTTGAAGAGTTTGGCCTTAACCTCTTCTCATTTGGTTCTTTAAAGCTACCTTACCGGAGCTCTCAGAAGCCCCAGTTGGGATCAGCGCTCACATTGTGCTGGGTGCTGCACATAGACACAGCGCCTATCCCAAAGAGCTCAGTGCCTCAGTTTCCCCATTTGTAAAAGAGCGCTAATGTCATGGGCTCTGTCCTCAAGCCTGATAGGAGGATTTTGTGAAATGCTGTGCAGATGAGGCCACGAGGCAAGCCTAAACTGGGAAGCGGCAGTCTTGCCTGGTTTTAAGTTCCACAGCTCTGATCTTTCTCGCCACGCTTTCCAGCATTCATCACTTACTCCACTACTGCCCTGCCCCCCTCCCCTCTGACTGCTTCAGACACTGTTACCTTCCCCCCTCTCTGTTCCCTCCTGTCACCACTTCCTGCCTGGGTAAGGCTTTCGTGGTTTTCCTCCCCAGGAGATCTGTGCATTCTCCACAGGTCAGAGGAGGTGCACCAAGTAACGAACTCACATCAAATCTTTGTGCCCTGAAGTCATGGTGAAACAGTATCCAGGTAACCTGCACTTTCTGAGAGAACTAGATTTCATTAGCTGCCACCTGCAGGTTACTGGGCTGCCCTGTTTTCGGTTGCACCATGCAGTCTGGCTGAGCTTTCTCTAGAAAGACTGCAAGGAAATGAATGAACCCCACCCTTGAGAGTCTGCCCTAAGGTTCATTCTCTCTGAAAACAAGTTAACTCAGAGGGAGGAGAAAAAGCAGGCTTGGCTCCCATCCATGGGAGACTCCTGGTGCAGAGGGCAGCTGGAAGGTTGCTGATAGCGTGCTGGCTGTTGGTAGGGTTGCCAGGTGTCCGGTATTGTACCAGACAGTCCGGTATTTGTGCGCTCTGTCTGGTAAAAAAAAAATCAGAAAATACCAGGCACGTGCAATGTCCAGTATTTTCTGATTTTTCCCGCTGTGCATCAGACGGAAGCCTGGCGTGGGCAGGGGGGAGCGGCTGGGAGTCCCAGCTGGGAGGCGGGACCGCGATTGCCTCCGGGAGCCCTCAGTCAGTTGAGTGTGAGGAGGAGGGGAAGCCTCCTCCTCGCTCGTGCGTCGCCAGGGGCCTGTGCAGGACAGGCAGCAAGTGCCCAGGTCAGTCCCGCTCCCCACCGGCCAATTTGCCCCCCCTTTCCCGGCCAGCTCCTGTATGTGCACCCCCCCTCCCACCCTGATTTTTACTTCCTGGATGAAGACCACCGCATCTTTCCCCATACAGCTAGAATAAAAGCCCTAACTCACACAGAAGGATATATTATTTAAAGATACAAAAGTCTGATTAAGTCCTGGTCCCATAGCATTTGGCATATAGTAGTCTCTTGAAATGTCCACCCTTCCATGGTCTTGCATCTGTCGTGATCCCAAAGCAGGGGGGAAAAAAAGACCCAAAATGCTGAGTTGATCTAAATTGATATTTGTTCTCAAAGAAAAGACAGTTTCCACCAAAGAAGGTGACAGCTCTCTTATTCTGAGAATGGTGAAAGGTTGGTGGGTGTGGTTTTTTTTTTTTTTTTTTTTGGCAGGGGGTGTTTGGTGTTTTTGTTTCAGCCATCTGGCAACCCTAGCTGTTGGTTCCCTGTGCTGTGCCATAGCTGTTAGTTTCCTCAAAGGAGGCAGTTCTGGGCCTGGGCCTATAGGCCATGGGACTTTTCAGGCCTCCTTTTCCGGTGAGGAATTGTATGACTTCCTTCCATGTTGAGGTCTGGGATCTAAGGGCCTGGAGGGTGAGTTGTGTCTGGTTTCCCCCTTCCCCTGTTCTTTTTCATCCTTGTGGAGCACTGATGTTCTGTCTGACAGGGTGAAAGGGTGCTTCTGACACACGATCCTAGTGCTGACTAGCAGAATGCTGAATAGTGCCTGGGAAGCTGTTGTGAGCATGAACAATAGCGTCTCTTCAGGAGCCTAAGAGATGAAGAGAAACACTAGATACGAACTAGATTAAGCTTTCCTCAATGTCTTCTTATTCCAGACCAAATTATGAAGGGACTACTCAGGGTTTTCATTCCATCTCTCTCCATCTTTCCAGCTAGCCCTCATCACTGTATCCAGTCCTTGCACTGGCAATGCCTCTGTCTGCTTCACGGGGAATTTCAGCGGAGTCTGGCCTGTTTGTTTTTCTGTAGTGGCTAGAGGTCCTGTGTAGGGTCCTGTCCAGTGGAGTTTATTGTTTTATTTGAGATACGATACAGCAAGTGAATGTGACAATCAGGGATCTGGTCTAAAAACTCTTTCCATTAACTTCTGTGGGCTTTGGATCTGGTACCGAAAGGCAGAATTGGGGAGGCAAGGATGAGGGTACAGGAAACAGAGTTATGCAGTTATTTGGGGAGCTTTTAGACAACTTGGTACATCCTGGTGGTTCCAAATCATTGTACTGAGGTTTTTTTTTTAAGCAATGAAATCTTCAGCTCTGAGCTTTAGTAATCACTAGCCAGCTAGCAGCACAGCAGCTCTCTTCATCCTCTCCTAACATTTCAAGGAATTCACTCTTTTTTTTTTCTTGGTTGATTTATGGTTAAATCAACAGACTTTAGTGTTAACACAAGGGACCCAAACTAGAGAAGTCACCAGCGCATGGAGTTTGGGGCACTGTGCTGTGGTTTCTGACTTCTCTGCATTATCAAAGTCATCTGTTTACAAGGTGCCTCTAAGCACTGTACAGTATCAGCCAAATGTGAGACCTAGCATACAAAGCATCCGTGCAGCCACCAGAGAGCTCCCACAAATCTGGCACAAGGGGGAAACCAGTAACTACCAGGCATCCCCACTCACTGGGGGTTCAGTTCACACGAGGAAGGAGGCTCTGAGGGGAGAGGGCCCAAGAAACACTGACAAAAAGGCAGGTGAAATAAATGAGCTTAGTATGATTTTCAGGCAGGGTCTGTGGCAGAGGACAGAGACGCAGGTATCTGAGACAAAGCTACCCGCACCCCTAGGTTGGGAGGGAGGATGCCCCAGCTCCAGTGGTCAGCAGGTATTGAAGAAATATGTGCGAGATCAGCTGGGAAAAGAGACACTCAGCATAAGGGGGGTCGTTCAGAAATGTTCAGCACTGGCCTAACGGCTGACAAGAACACCCCTGGGTGCAGAGTTAGTCCGATATTGAGCACTTCAGTGTGCCACACCCTGCCCGCTCTTAAGCCCTGCATAGTGCGTAGCTGCTCCAGGGGAAGAGGTAAGAGCATGTGCAGCCTCTGAAAACTAGCATCCTTTCCTTTGTTGCTAATAATACAGCCCTGGAACTTGGAAAAACTCACTCCTGTCCATTTAAACTG